CATCTGCCGGCAGGTGAGAGGCAGGTAGGAAAGAAGCAGCAGACGTTGACCTTTCCTGCATCTCCAAAGGTTTAACCTGGGCCCGTTTGCCCCTGGCTTGGGCTCCTCCAACCCTCTATCAACTCCAGGTCAGCCCAGGAATTCCAGTCGCAGAGCACACGGCAGGAGCAGCGGGTGCCAGGCAGCTCTGGGCAGCCCATCCAGCACGGCAGCTGCCCGCACTTGCTGCTGCCTGGATCCAGCTCTTGGGCTCTAGGGAAAGCCACCCGGAGACTTCATCCAGCCTTTCCCAGAGCTCTGCCCCAAACATGGAAAGAGTTCCCCTGTACTTTGCCGGGGTGGCGCTAGGTGACAGCAGTGTCCAGGGAAGAAGGGGAGGCAGAAGGTGCTGGGCTCCTTCCACAGTGACCATGTGGCCAAGCACAACACGCTGGGGAGCATCCCAGGCTGGGAACCATCCTGCAGCACCGTGAGTGCCAGTCACAGACCCCGCAGGGTGACAGCAGTGTCAGGAGGCAGCACACACCATAGGGTGCTGAGTCCCTACAGGTGCTGGCTTGTCCCCTACACCCCCTGGGTTGGGGCACCCGCAGGAGGCACTAGCCAGCAGAGGAGGATGCTAGCCCACTGCCTCTCCTCCCCTCGGAGCCTGTCCAGCCCCATCCCACGCACTCTTGCTAACCCCACGGCAGCCCTGATGTGGGAAGTGCTGCTGGAGCCCCGGGAGGCAGCGGCGGCTCCGGGTGCGCCCTAATAGGATGCCGGGCGGTCGCCCCAGACTTTCCCACACACCTGCAGCCACTTAATGTGGGAATCGTTAACCCTCTGCTTACACAGCTCCTGCAACACAAGCAAAGGAGGGAAACATGGCCAGGCCACTCCCAGCCAGGCCCTGGCTACCTTGGGGACCCCAAATCTCTCATCACAAGCCCTGCTCAGCAGCCAGGGGCTGCACAGTGAGCACCCAGCTCTGTGCTGCCACAGAGGGAATCCCAGCAGGGGCCCAGGGAGAGCCAGAAAGCAACGAGAGATGCCAGCCCGAGTCCCTGTCCCCAGTGCCCTCTGGAGGATAGTCACAAGATCTGTGTCACTTGCATTTTGCCAGGAAAGCTGGTCCAGACCCCAAAGAGTGACACCAAGCCTTGGGGGAGGGGAGAGGGGGGCTGTAGGGCAGTGCTGGCAGCACTTGGATTTGGGCTGTCTAGATCCAGCACCCATCCCTCTGGGGACCAGCTCTGTGGGGCCCTCATCAGCCTGGGGAGACGAGTGTCAGCAGAGGTGAGGTTCAGGCACCTGGGAAAAGCCAAAGGGCACACAAGAGTCTGCAGTGGGGCTGATGGGGCTGGGCCAGGGTGTTGCTCTCTGGAGGTGGGTTGTGCCAGTGTGACCTGACCCACTGAAACAATCTGCTGATGGTGGGGGTTTAGAGGACAAGGCAGGGCTTGGTTTCTCAGAGTGAGTGCCTTCACCATGGGAGGAGGAGGTGATGGGGTGGTGATCTCCTCTGCAAACCTGCTCCACCTGTGATGATAGCTGATAGCAGCCAAGCCCTGGGGACCTCCCAGGCCTCCCTTCCCCAGCCCTCCTGCTTCCAGGAGATGGCATCGCTCGATCACAGACAGCAGTGCCGAGCCCCAGGGAGCGGCACACACCCTCTCCTCTGCATCTGCTTGGTTTCCACCAGGAATGTCAGGTCTGGAGGACTAAAAGGAGCTCTCCAGGTTGGGTTTGATGCTGGGGATCTCTAGGGTGGATGGTGGAGGTACTGTCACCTCCTCTCATCCAGCTGTAGACCCCTGAGGGCTCTGGAAGCCCCTGACCAGCTCATCCATGGGACCACAGTGTGGGCATCCTGGGGCACTGAGGGTTCCCAGCAGCACCCTTCAGCCCAAGTCTGGCATCTGGGATGCTCCTGGGGAAGCCCATGGAGGGGAGTCCCATGGAGGACTCCTTGCCTGACTCTTCCCCAGCATAAACTTTGCCAACAATAATCCTCACCAACAACAAAACAGGCCAAAGAGAAGGAAAAGAGGGAAGTGCTCATGGGTGGATCTTTATGGCCCAATTGACTTTCCCTGCTCCTTCACCTCATGCCAAGGGAGGTCATGGTATGGCTGCCACAGGCACCTGGTGATGAGCACCTGCCCAAGCCCTTCGCCAGCTGCAGGAGGTGCTGGGTGCTGCCCCGGGATCCCTGGACACCCCAGTCCCCAGAAGCTGCCTGAGCCTTTGGCCTCAGCTTCATGAGCTGGGAAAAGGGCAAAGGGGGGCCCAGGCTGCCCATCAGTGAAACAACCAGTAGCAGGAATAAACCCAGAATCCCCTGTCCTTGAATTGCAACCACATCTGGAGTGGGACCCAGCAGCCCCCTGGTCCCTCTGCACCTCCCACCATCTGCTTGGGAGGGGATTTTCTTCTTTTTTCTCCCACTCCCTGAACCAGTGTTTCTTTGTTGGTGGGATGAGGAGGAGGAAGGCTGTGCTGAGATCTTGGGAAAAAAAACAACAAACAGGATGGATGGGGTTGTGTGGTGCAGAAATCAAACTGTGCTGTGGTGTGAGCTGGGATTGTCACTGGCTGGGATGGCCATGACAGTTGCCTTTTTCACTAGGGAGGGAGCCAGGACAAGGCTGGGCAAGGGGTTGGGGATGCTGGGGACACAGGGAGGGTGCTGCAAATCACTCACCTCTCATGGTTCCTCTGGTCATGCCGGGTCTCTGGAGGCAGAGCTGGGTTGATGCCAGCTCTGGGGGTGACTTCCCATTGCTGGGGTTTTACTCTGCTCCCTTTTTGCAAACCAGATTCCTTCCTTCTTATTGTTATGATCTCATCCTGGCTCCCACCTCCATGCAAGGAATGGATGTGGCACAGGGGCATCCATATAATATTTTCACCCAGTTTTAGCCAGAATCCGTGGCTGGAGCAATGGGATTGCACCCAAGACTGACACTTGATAACACTGGCGGGAAGGGCCACAGCCAGGAGGGCTGTGGGGGGAGTATGGCAGAGATCTCACAAAGTCCACCTCGAGCAAACAGATGACAGCACTGCTGTGGGAGCTTGGGGACATGCCAGTCCCTTCAGGAACACGGGAGAGCTCAGGATGCTGTGGGAAGGGAGGGGGGGCTGGCATGGCAGTGAGAAATGGTTGTGAATCAAATGCGTTGAGCTCCCTGAGTCCTGGTTTTGTTACAGTTTTCCTTTTAATACCAAGATTCTGTTTCTCACACTGGAAACACTCCCCAGGTTCATATCAGGAAAAAGGCTCTGAAAGTCTGTTTTCTCCCCTCCACCCAATTTCATTTTTAAATCTCTTTTTTTTTTTTTTTCCCTGTTTTTTCACTTTTTGTTGTTTTTTTTTTTTTTTTCCCTGTTGTTTCACTTGTTGTTGTTTTTTCTTGTTTCTTACTATAAAAATTCCAGGCTGCTTCTCTCCCAGGAGGAACATTTCCAGCAGAGGAAGGAGCTGGTGAAGACAAGAAGGGCAGAGGTGGCCTTGGGGAGGTGACAAAACGCCCACCCAGAGCCTCTGGGGGGCTGTGCTTTGGTTTGAGGAGAAAAAGGCTGCCTGCAAAAAATGACTGTGACTACGTGATGGTGGCCAGTGCAGCCAGAGTGTGACACTGGTGGGGAGGGGACATCCATGGGGAGGAGGCTGCTGCTGATGGGGGCTTCTGGCCTGGATGTCACAAAGCTGGTCCTTGGTCCCTCATCCCCCTCTGGAGTGGAGGTGTGTCTGGTGTGATGGGTGACAAGAGGGTGCTCTCCCACCTTGCAGTCAGACAGGCCTTCACAAGGGTCTTGTTTTGTTTTGTTGGTTTTCCCTCTTAAATACATATATATAGGGATGTTTTTGTTTCTTTAAGAGGGAAATCAGACAAGAAACTCTTCCTGCTG